ACAGAGAACCTGTTTGTGCCTTAAGGGTTCTGATCTAGAAAAGCACTGAAATTAAGTATGTAACTATCAGAAAGTATAAAGTCTGAGCAAGTATGCTTACTAGCACTACACTATACTAGTGAAATGAAGAGAAATTTTGAAGAATATATAAGAAAAAAAGGAAGAAATACATTCCTACTTAAGCTATCTCATACCACACTCAAATAGCAGTCTGAGTTAAAATGGTGTAAAAAAAAAGCATAAGCAGGAGTTACAGGTATAAAATAAAAACATTGTTGATGTTTGCTGTGCCTACAGTCTAAAGGAATAAAACACAAGCTTGTAGAACTTAGCTGAAAGTACTATGCTTAAAATGTTTAACATTTATAAAAATATATTCAAAATAACAAAAAACTAGGCAGTTGTAAAGATGTGAAGAACACAAAACATGAGTTGATTGGAAATATATTAAGTGTGGGGATATTTCAATTAGCCCATAGACAGATAAATACTGTCAGATAATGGTTCAGCACAGGAAATCAAGACATAACTCTACTTCTGCAGAAATCAGTATATGAAGGCAGTATCTGAACTTCTCTGTGTCCTCCATGGGTAATATATTAATATTCATAAAATCTCATTTTATGTAAAAAATTCACAGGTACCAAAATTTTCAATGTAAAAGTAACAATATACATTTCATCCCTGACTCTGATGTACTTGGTGCACTTTCATCTAATCATAGCCCCTTCCACATAGAATAAACATTCTCTAAACATCTTCAAAATAAATGCTTTTTGAAAACTCTCTCAAAAATTCCACTTTTTCATCAACAACAGTTTGGCTCCATGCTGAAGCCATGTCTAGAAGACTGACTAATATAGCCATATTGTTTCCATGTCCTCCCCATATGTGTGTCTCCAGCCATCTGTTGTCTCTTGGCTTACACCGTGAAGTCCTTCAGAGAAGCAGGATTTTTCTTTATGTTTGTACAGCACCCAGCAGAGCAAGGCCTTGGGACTGTGAGGGACACAGTTAAATAACAAGTTAAATTCGTAAATAAAATAAATTAAAAGCTTGGGTTATGTTCCACTGTATGTAATTCAGTGCTCAGAAACAGGGGTTTCTGGTTTAAATATCACCATATGCTGTACACTATTCTGTGGCTGGCACAGAATATAAAAAAATTATGGGGGTGTCAACCAATATTCAACTGTCAGAGATTCAAGATTATAAGGTTAATTCTTGTGTTTAATTCTTGGATTAGAAAATTAAATAAATGAAACTCCTTCTGCAAAATGGAAGGAGTAACCACTGCTTTGACTCCAGGGGAATTTGCTTTAAATTAAATGAGAAAGCAATTTATGCCTCGCATCTGAGTCTTGTTTGACTTGTAAACTGCTACTGACATCTAAAAAGTATACTCTGTGTATAATTTATGAATAAGAACTTAAGTATTGGTAAGACTCTTAGCAAGTACCTGACTTCAGGATTTCCATATATCAATCTCGTTTTGCCCATTATCTTCCTCTAAATGTTTTGATACCTCATCAGAATTATTTTCTAATTTGCCCTGCCAGTTTGCCAAGAGATATGGGATGTTTCCTGAGTGCTCTTACTATGAATACTGAAAAAACTGAAAATGTGACTGGAAAATTAATATCAGAAATTAATATAAGAAAAATAACTAACTACAGGAAAAAAACAAACAAGCAAACGAGAAAACCTGACACCACCTCAAGCTCAAGACATCACTGCTGTGCAAATCTGTATCATCTGGAAGAGTATTCTGGGCATGTCATGTTTATGTCATGACCTTCTGTCTTCTCCACACTTCACCCAACCCAACCATTGACCAGCATCAGAACAGACCCAAGAAAGACTGGGCTCTTCAGCCAGCTCAGTTCTGTTGCTGGTTTGGGGGTATTTTATGTTTTATATTTCAGCATTAGTGCCTAAAGACCTGAAATACCTTTAAATACTCTTCTCTTTGAAGATAGTTTCTTTTCCACAGCACTTAGCGCTTGGTGGTGCTGCCAAGTTAATTCTTATTCAGGATTCAAATTTAAGATGAATGGAATTCTGCCATTCTGAGCATTCATGAATGAAATGCTTGGACATACATTGTTGTAAACTTTGACAACAGAGTTTGCTTTTCCTTGACTTTCCTACGTGGGTTAAACAGACAAAAGTACAATTTTTCTTTCATCTCCTGAATAGCAAGACTGAAAACTAAATGGTATTGTGAAAGAAAGGCATTACAGCCCTAATTTTCTGTGTTTGTTTTCCCTCTTTTCTAGAATTCTGTGTTAAGCTACATGTCATATATTCGGGAGAAAATCTGTTTAAACTGATAGAAGCAATTTTAAGAAAGAGTGGCTTCCTTCCAAAACTGTATGTCATCAGACCTTGTAAAGGCTAGCAAATTCTAGTGCTCCTACCCAGGTCTGCAAACCATATTGCAGCATGTAAAGCCATGAGCTGTAAAAGGATAGGATTACAATGTCAAAAGTGTAAAATTTTCTGTTCTTGACTATACTGACCACTTTCCATTTTTTTTCCTGATATAGTAAAATTTGATGGAAAATGGAGCATGGGGAAGTATCACTGATCTCATTATGAGCTCAGGAGAAAAGGAAGGATATAAAAATTTATTTCCATAGCTCACTTTTAAAGGTGGGAAGATAGATGAAAGGAAGGGTAATAAAAACAGAAGAATAAGCTTTGGACAAATGGAGAGTACCAGAACTGTATAGACTGGAGGGGAAATGGCAAAGAAATGTAAAAAAATTAATCAGAAAGTAATTAGTTCTCATGGCAAAAGAAAAAAAAAAAGAGATGTAACAATATAAGCAAAGTTCTGTATGTGGATAAGAAGAATAACAAATATGAGAAACATAAATGTAAGTCAAGTTTTTTGCAGATTCAGTCTTGCCAAAACTAGGAAAATATTTAGAGATGTGTGTATGAAGGCACTCAAATAGAATCTTGATTTGACTGGATACATAAATTCTAGCCTGCTTAATATTGTTAGTGAAATGTAAATCAATATAGTATCACAAATAAATTACTTCCTTTTCATTCTCCTGTTAAATTCCAGATGTTAATGGTTATCTGCAAGGTTCCACATCATCTGCAAGGTTGAAGGTGTGTCATAGTTTTTTGAGAACTCTGGAGCTGAATTTTCCGGAAGTATTAAGTTGTTTTTCTGCAAGATTGCATACATCAATTTGCAGATCTTGGTCTCCCGTGTCTGATGCAGTGATTTCTTAGTTTGATTTACTGCTTGATTTGCTTCTCTTCCTCATAGTGCAGCTCCCAATATTAGAAAATATTGAGCTTTATAGAATGTGTTATTTGGTAAATTGACGCTGATTCTGTATTTTGATTGAATGAGTTGGAATCGTTTGTGTGTTTCTGGTGCTGTGTCAGATCAGCTGAAAGGGCAGTTTCAGCTGAAAGGTTGGTCCAGACCATACTGGATTTCTCCTGACTTAGGTTTGGCCTGTTCAAAGAATTTATAAGTCTCTGTTCATGCATAAGAGAGCTCAAATTAGCACTGCTATATGTACACAAAATAAAAATGGTATCCAGGCTACTCATTTTGCTAGCACAATGAAAAGTTGCACTTAGAGGAAAGTGCAGTGTATGTGAGAGCATCTGCACTATGCTGGTCATAAATCAGTTGTTTCATCTAATACTGCTAAAGAATTTGGCATTAGAATACTGAAAAAAGGTCATTTTTCCTGAGGGGATTTACGATTTAGCTGCTTACCTGTACAGTGCAATCTCTGAAAGGTACTGTGAAAAGATTAGTCTTAGAAATGTTGCATAGAAGAGACTTCTGCTTAAGCTGCTTGGAATAAGATAATCAGTAGCATTGGGTCAGGTCAGTGACTTTGTAACAGAAACTATCTCTTCTGTAACCTCTTCCAGTGCTGTGCTGCTCCTCTAATGAAGAATATTTTCCTAATGGAAGCTGAACTTTCCAAGGGGCAGTTTTGCACCATAGTTCCTTCTATATCATCTGTGAGGAGTTTGATTCCATCATCTTTGTCACTTCACGTAGTTACAGGCTCCCAGTAGATCCCCCCTTGAGCTCCTCTTCACCAAAATAAGCAAGCACTGTTCCTTCAGCCTCTCCTCCAGACTTGTAGCCTTCCAAAGCAACCCTGCACTGGGTCCTCTCCAGTTTCTCAATGTCTTTGAACTGCAGGCCCAAAGTGTTATTAAAGGTGAGGGCTCACAAGCACTGAGTAGAAAGGGGTGTCATGACTTTCCTGGATCTGCTGACCACATTGCTCAAAATGTAGCTCAGTGCAACTGTTTACATTATTCATAATAACAGAACTTACCTCTTAGTGGCTCAACAGCCACTGTAGCCTCCATATCCTTTTCAGCAGATCTGAAACAAAAAGTTCCTTCCCTTTCTGCATTGGTGCATTGGGATTTTTCTTCTCAGGTGCAGAATTTTGTGCTTATGGAAATTTCTAAAACAGAAACTTCAAAAAGGCTTCTCTTGCCGAGGCTTCCCGTGTCTCATGGTGTTTGTGAATTGAAGTTCCACCAGTCAGCACAGCAGCCCCATGTCCCAGTTTTGTATCATCTGAAAATCTACTGAATGTACATTCTGTCTTCTTATCTGGGCTATTGATGAAGATACTGAACAGTGTCTTCATAATAGTCCATTTGTTACTGTACTCATTTCCAAACATCAACTGGACATCAAGCTATTGACTCTGTTCTTTAAGCTTGTGATTATGATCAATTCAACCTACCTACAGTCTTTTCATTCAGCCCATATTTCATCATATTATAAGTGACAGCACTTTTGGAAATGTGTCAAAAGGCTAACTACAGTAAAACTCCATTGCAGTCACTTCCCTGCCTTCATCTGCATGCCCAGTCATTTCATTGTAGTGGGCAACCAGGTTGGGCAAGCATGATTTGCTCTTGGTAAATCTTTGTTGACTTTTCTTGATTATTGTCTTGTCCTTTACATGTTGGATTTTGATTCCAAGAGGACATGCTCCACGATTTTTCCAAGGACTAAGGTGAGGCCAACCACTGTATAGTTCCTTAAATACCCCACCTACTCTTGTTTAGTATGTATGTAAGATTAACTTTTCTGCAGTCATCAAGGATGTTCTGTAATAGCATTGATTTTTCACAGGTGGTAGCCAGTGGTATTGCAATCACACTGTCAGTTTTTTCAGCACCCATAAGTATATCCCATGTGGTCCCATGTGTTTGAACACACACTGGTTCGTTGGGTATTCCCCAGCTTATGCCCTTCCCCCCTCCACAGCCATTCCTCTCCTTCCCAAACAGTTCATGCGGGGGTCTGGGAACAGTGTTGGCCTAAAAAGTGAGATGCAAAAATGGATTCAAGTGCTGCAGCCTTTTCTGGACCATGTGTCATTGTCTTAGCTCCCTTAGTTAGCAATAGAACATTTTCCTTGAATCTCCTTTTGCTGCTCTGCATACTTATAAGAATACTTCTTGTTACCCCTTAATGTCCCCCATTAATTTTTGCTCCAGATGGGGTTTTGTCCTTCCTAGTTTTGTTCATGTGCCCAAACAATGATTGTGTGCTTGTCCTTTGTTTCCTGCCATTGTTTCCACACATGTGCTCTCCATTTCCACCATTTCCACCTCCATATGTGCTTTTCCCATTTCAGTTCATTAAGAAGCTCATTACTCAGCCAAGTGGACCTTCTGCCTACCTTGTCTGTATGTGCCGATTCCTCATGTGTACCTGGGTTAGGTCCCTGTTCTGTGGCAAAGCCTCCCCCCTTAGATTAGCAAGTCTGTTCACAAAGATTTCTTCCCCATCTTTGCCAGGTAGACCTGTTCTCTAAGTTGTCTGTCCTCATCAAACTGGGAGCCACAAGGAGAATAGTTGAAGCCCAGCTAATGCCAGCAAGTATGTAACCATATGTGGGCTCCCTGATACACCTGCTGCTGTCCAGGCTTTTCCCTTTTGCCATAGGATTGAAGAGAAACACCACCAGGGTTCCTGTCCCCTTCACCCTTGCTCAGAAGCCCTACAGTCACTTTTGAACTAAAATGGTTTCACATGACCCTGTCTTTGGTGAATGCATGAATAAGCAGGAAAACATCAGAACACTAGGTGACAAAACAGTCTTTTGCAGCACCACAAACAGAGGCTCCAAAAGAGCAAGAAACCTCCCTAGCTGACAAGTCAGGCTTGAAGAGTCACCAGCCACACACTGTCACTCATCACTTTCCCTTGGTAGTGCTCTGATAAGGTGTCCAACCTGAATTCTTCCTCTGAGGGAGCTTGTTCTTACCCTTCTGCTGCTAGAAGTCCCAAGTTTACAGTTCCCTCCCTTGTATCAGTGCATGCCTTCTTCCCACTGTATTTTGCCTCAGTTGCACCTTTCCTGTCTGTTGCATGAAATTTTACACCTGGAAAGATCTTGTCAATCCCCTGTCAGTCATCCCAATGCAATAAAACACACCTGCCTCTTCTTACAGCTCTTCACCTGCTGCTGCAGAACCACAACAGAGCAAAGCCCCCATCAGGGAGCTCGCTCTCAGAGTCTGCCCAGAGGTTGTTACAGCACCGCTGGTGACAGCAGAGGTGGAGGTTACACCTTGTAGCACATCATCACCATTTGGGTGTTGTCTAATTGTGCAAACAGCCCTGGGTCTCTTGTGTGCCAAGTTCACTGTCTTGCCTGTTTGCCCATCCCACTGCCAGCACTCCTTGGTGCCCTTCCCACAGTTGCCAGAAAAATCAGGAACTACAAGTTCATTTAGCCTTGTGCAAGATTTCCCACTTGAAAAGGAGACCTCTTGCACTGTCTCTGACTCCCTGACCACAGTTCCCTCCTTGGTGCCTGCTGGGTTTGCTGAGCACTGCTTCTCCCCATGCTGGATCCCAGCGAGCGGAAAGAGCAGGGGGTGTAGTTTAATCAGCACTGCTCTCACTTGCCAAGAGAAGAGGTACTGTTGTATAATTGAAAAGGTCAGTTTCAGACTCTGTTTGGATGGATTCAGCTGTCCAAAAGCATTTCAAGATCAATTTACTGCAGTTCTCACGTATGAATAAGAAAAAAAAATACTCTAGGATACATGGAAACATTTATTACAAGAAGTTAAATTTTCTGTTTCACCTGTAGGAGATAAACTGGGGTTCAGTTACTGGCTAATTATTTTAGAATTTGATTGTGTTATTTTATAGTAGAATACTCAAATATTTTCACTTTTCCCTCTCTTACAGCTGCAGTTGCAGTGCCAATGGTAGTTTAAAATTTATGGTAGATTATCCCTTGCAGTCAATAGCTGTTTGTACTAGAAAAAGGTCTTCTGCAGGAACGTCACTTGAATAGAAATGTCAATGCAGATATGCTTGTACAGGCCGTGACAGAACTGCAGACTTTGAATGAGGTCACTCAGCAATTCTAAATTGGCAAAAATCCCTTTGAGGTCTAAGTGGTCAAAGTATGAGGATAAGAAGGAAAAGGTGAGAGTATATAATATAAAGAAATAACAAGGAAAAAACATTTCATATCTATTAGGTGCAAGGAAAAAGCATGTAGGGAAAAAGTGATAATGCTGCAGTTACAATGCTCTTTATTCATCAATTGCTTTTGGATTTGTGATATATTAGTGTAAAATCTGCTTTGCTTGGTTCTAACTTGGCTTCTGATGGAGATTAAGATCACTTATACCTTTAAATCAAGACTGACTCATTCTATTTATTCTTGCTGATCAGTTTTGGGGGTTTTTTTTATTTGAAAAGTAATTTGCTTTCTAATGCCCAGTGATCTCCATCAAACAAGACTGTGGTAGAACTGCAAAGCTCCAAATAAAACAGGAGGCTAAAAAATACTTTGGCTTTCTCTGAATATCTTTAATTCAATTGCATACTTAAACGAAAGCCTGCTTTAATACTGTTGGTGACTTAGCTTTGAAGGAATTTTTCTAAAGGAGTGGTGATCTTCCTCTGGAGTATGGTCTTCAAAGTCAAGACTGGATGGATTTGTAAACCAGCAAAGACATTTAAAGAGGAATTGTTAGCTGAGGTAGTTCCCATTGCTTAGACAGGGCATGGATCCATGGCTGGGTACTAATACTTCTCTTGGGCTTTAAAATGAATTTTTTAAATTCCAATTTTAAATTATACTTGATGCAATATTTTTCTAACCTTAGCTTGGTAATTTAGAGTAACTGCTTTATACTGTGTGTGTTATATAGTTTTCACCTAAATAGTATGTATCATGGTGTCTGAAAGTGAAGTTGGCTGTGAACAGAAGGGTAGGGATTAAATACAGATAGAGCATGATGTATGATTGCAAAAATAAGTGTGCCAAAATACATGGCAGTAATGCATCCTTGAGATTCAATGCTAGGTCTCATGAAATATGTCTCTTGAAATTCAAAAAAAAAAAAAAGGTTTTCAAAGGAATAGCTGAGGAAATTATACTAGAATAAGTTAGAATTTTTTCATTTGGTGAATTTTTTCAGCCAGTGCTGTGGTACTGTGTTTGCACAAGTGAAACCAGGTAGCTGGTCTATAAAAGAATCCTGAATCATTTGTGAGGTCAATGTAGATAGATTTTTATTTAATTCTTTAGAAGGAAAAAGAGTAGTACTAAAAAACACTGAGATATTAAAACCAAACCCTATTTCCATGAAATAACAAAACTTTCCAAGAACAAGGGAAAAAAACTTTAAAAAAAGTTAAAAGAGGTCTAAGCATGTCAGGGATTAACCTACTACTTTTAGTCTGCATTATATAAACTTTAGGGGTTTTAATGCTAATAATCTTTTCATTGTAGGAGGAGGAATTAGAGGCCCAGATTTCATTCCTACAAGGACAGCTAAATGATTTGGAAGCCATGTGCAAATATTGTGCAAAGATGATGAACACGCATCTTGGTAAGTGCAGTACCTTGAATTAACCTGTAAATCTTTGCAAAGGCTCTTCCAGTGTTTGTATTAGAACTAAAACAATATTTATGTAGTACAGTGCATATTATTTTATAAGCCATGATGAAGATTGAATTGATGTACTCAGTTGTTCTTTCAGATGCTGCCAGCCTCTGTATCTTTATTCTGTCACAGTTTTAAACTTGGGAGTGGGATAGCCACTGATGATACTAATAAGTAGAGGCATTTTAGCACAGATGCCTTTGATTTCTTGTATTGTAAGAGACTTGTTGGAGCTCAGTCCATGTGAAATTACAGACTTGAAGTCCATTTGCAGTTCAACAGTCCCACAGTGATACTTGATGTGTTCAGTGATAGTTGTATAATATTCATATACTTTCATTAAATGTAACATTTTTATAATCTACAATTACCTTTGATATGCTAAAATGTTACTGTAGGCTGGCTAGTTTGATATTTGTCTCAGAACAGAAGAAATATAGTAAGATAAAAGTCAATACATTGGGAACAGAATCAGCAAATTCTCCTAAAATTCTGCTTACATATTGCCAAGACAAATCTTACAAGAGAAAGTTAACAAAAAGCTTCACTTAGATCAAGCATAAATATTTTTAACCGGGTTTTGATAAAAGAGGTGGTTTTAAACTATGTTGAGCTGAGCTCTAAATGTTAGTCTATTTAGTTATGTGAAAAAGCTCCATTGTTGAGAAATCAGAGCAAAACTACCATAATTTTAAGATTTATTTATGGCCTGCAATATCTGAGCAAAATAAATTAAAGTTGAAGATTTCAGTAGGTAGAACTAAGCATGTGATATCTAAATTTGTCAGGCCAGAAGGTTCAGATATGAAAACCATATTGTAATTCTATTTTCTTTCATGTGGGTGTTTTACTAGCCACTGTTACAAACCTAGGAAAAGATATAAATATTGTATTGCTTGAAAGTTGGGAATTACAGCCTTGAAAAGCCAAGTCTAAACCTCTAACCCCGACAGCTTTAGTCTGATGTATTGTATTGCTTTTGTGAAGGCACATGACTAATGATAAGATTAGAAGCAAGCAAAGGGATAAATTATAAGCTACTGAAATGATGGGGAAAAGATTGCTGTGTCAAGAAGAAAAACTGAAGTTTCTTTCCTCTGGGAAAGAAGATGAGGAGTGTTTAGCAAGGGTATCAGTTCCAAGCATAAACATTTCAGCAACTATAGCTGCACCAGGAATCAGAATAAACCCAGGCAATAAACCCAAATAATAAACCCAGACAAAGCTCCTTGAAGCAGTCTGCCTTTCAGCACTGGATTCATGAACTGAAAGCATATGATCTGCGATGATATCCAGGGGTTAAATTCTTTTTCCAAACATATTGGAAACAAAAGCATTTAGGGCCAGTAGTCTCCCAGGAGCACCATGGAGTGGTTTGTTACCCTCACAAGACAAGGAAAGCCATCCCTTGTAGTGCTTTGGGGTGTCCTGGGTGTATTGTGACACCCCTGCAACACTCTCAGAGCCTGCCAGCCTGGTCTCCTCCATGTCTACTCCCTGTACTTCTTCACAATATTCCTGCATGTCTTGTCACTATCATGGACTATTAACTTTGTAAATTTGTCTTACACTAGTGTGTTTATATCCTATAGAGATTAACAGTTACGAGTGGTAAAAAGCACAAGAGAGACAGAGACACCACCAACCTTCACAGCCTGTACACTTGTAGCAAATTGATGAGTTTAGGTATGCCCAATCACCTAGCAGATAATCTCCATGAAGGCAGGAAAAAAAAGCTTGCCACAATTCTTGCTGATGTGGAAAATCCCAGCAGGCTGTGCTAGAAAATGGATTCTCTGATGAATCAGAGACCACCCCCTGATGATTATCTCCAGAGTCCATACACTGCTCAGGGCTTCAGAGAAGGGCAGCAGAATAAAACCCAAGAGCACATGTGGTTATTTCCAAAGGGAAAAGTTAGCAGAGGCTGCTACATCTGATTCTCTCCCAGGTATCCGTTTACCCATGAAAAATGGCTTTGTTTCAGAAACTGCAGAGCAGATGAGTTATATCACTCCTCTTGTAAACTGTCAGAACACTTAACTTCAAGGATATTACTTCTTCCTCTGGGGCTGACTTTTTCTGACTTCATCACCCAGCTATTAGCTCATGTAGCATTTTTAATAACAAAGTTGAAAATCCTCATTTAACTTACCTATATGCAGTGATAAAGTAATCTCTCAGCACTGTCTTTGCTAAGTAGAACACTACATTTTATTTTATGTGAGCTACTTTTTAGACCAGATCATTTTTGTGGTCTTCCTTTGAATTCTTCAGGATTTTCATATGTCTTTTCAAGTAGGTGAATTGTATCAGGACATGCTGTACCAGCCCTGGGCCCAGGAAAGTGGTTACTTAGCACAGGGAAGGTCATCTCTCTACTCTCATATGGCATTGCTCTTTTCAAACATTTGTAATGCAGCATCACATTAGTGCTCTTTGATACAGTGATAGTTTGAGGTGATAATATGTTATGACCTTTAAAATTTGGTGATTCACAGCTTTCTAAACAGAGGCATTTATCCTGTGGGTAAAATCAGGAAATGTTTATTTCTGCATGTGTTCCTTGTATTTGACGATATTAAAATTCCCTTCTTGCCATTTGGCATTTTACCTGAATAATTCAGGTAACTCTGTGATGTACTCAGTTTTCTTCTGCCCTTCTAACTGCAGACATAACCATCATATATTTAATGTTGTCTAAATTGTTGATGAAAATGTGCACATATATAAAAGTTGGGGAGTCTTACAGAACTAATTCTTTCAGCAAAGAGTTAGACAACGTTTCTGTAAATTACGAATATGTCAGTCAAGCAGTCAGGCCTGCCTGTTAAATTTGATTAAATTTAAGTGCTTATTCTTAAAAAACCTCCTTTTTTTTTAGATTGATGTTGTAAACGGGTCTTTTCAGACATTATTACTCAACCAATATTCTTTTTCTTGTAGGATCCATTGCATTTGCAGGTCACATTTTAACAAAATATTAATTCATACTTCTAAAAATGCATATCCAGTGATCATTTGCCACAAAATTATCACAATATCAAACAATTACAGAATATCCTTTTCATGGTTTATAATGACACAGCTGAGGATTTTTGGCTGTCTTTTCTCAGGTTCTTTCCCTTACAAGGGGGAATCCAGATGACAGTCAGATGCAGTTACTTCATTACAGAGGTGATGTGTTGTAGCTGAGAAATTATCAAAATAACCATGAAATTATCTATGCTGTTTTGAATATGAGGGATAGAATAGCAGTTTTTATTTTGTTCATATGTTCAGAGATGCTTTCATTAAATGTTTATCTCCTACTGTAAAGAAATCCCACAGTCTACAACATGGCAACAACAGAATTAACTGCTTGAATTTCTGGGCATGTTACCATGGCAATGAATGATGGTTCTGAAATATTGCTACTTAGTGCTATGGGTAGGAATAGAGGGTTCATTATTAAAATGGAGGAAAGTCATCTTGTGATCGTGTTCTCCATCTTAGGGCAGTGCCTTAGAAAGAGCTTTACTTTTCTTCCCTCTCTCCCTTAACCACTGGAGTATTGCTCAGGGGAAATTCCTTTTAACACCTCCAAGGACAAATGTCAAAATTTAGGCATGTAAAATGGCAATACAGGGAAGTAGATTTTGCTGTTGTTCCCACCTGTTTTCACAAGCTTGTCATAGCTTTACTTTCAAAAAAAAATCCTGTATTCAATTTTTCCATTATTGAAATGAAGACAAACCCAAACTTGTAAACCTGTCATGTGGCTTTGTTCACAAAATAAATGCAGAATATTACTCAGCTAATAGTGGAAAAGTATAGTTGCCATAGCTATCACTGCTCTAGCATCATCATAGATATATTTTCTTGATGTTACTTTTTCACAAGCACTAGCCTTTTTCAGGAAATAATATTGTCACTGGTGATTTCAGAAATATGGTAATATTCTTAAGCATTTTTCTTTCTGGGAGATACTCTACTGTTAGTGCACATAAATTCTTCAAGGCTCAATGATTCAGAAAGCTGTAATACACCATTTAAGTATTACAACATTATTACCTGTCATAATGTTACTTCTATTTTGAAGAATTTTGATTGTTTCCTCCTTTCTTGCACTATGTGAAAATAAAAGCATCAAGCTAGCAAGTGCATTCAGAAAAAGATTTTTCCTGGTATCTGGTAAATGTGACATCTGTATGATGTCTTAGTGTAGATAATGAAAAACATGTCTAAGAGACATGCACACAAGCAGCACTCAGAGGGCCTTGTAGTATCTGCTGGAAGATTCCTCTCTGGTCCTTCATAATGGACATGGGAATGAGTTTGAGGAGTTTGTTCAACACAGTCAGTCTAGAGTGTCTCAAGAGCAAAGCTTTGTTACATCCCAGGGTCAAGCCTGTTAAATGGCAGTTCAGGTGACCCCAGCTAATGACACTGTCATCTGACACCATCTGCTATTCTAATCTTTAGGGTTTGGACCCTGTCCGCACTGGCCCACAATTAAAGTGCAGCTTCTTAATAAAAAAGTGAATTAAAGCCCTGGAGAATTATCAGTCCTCCCCCTCCATAGGCAAGTACCAATGAGAGATTGTGGATGTTCTATGTTAACTTGCCAGTTTTGTTCCAGAAGGAAAAGTGCTGAATTTCAACGTCTTGTCTCTTTATATGGGACAGGAGCCAATCCATCACCACTATCTCAGACAGGAGAACCTACCATTTGTTTCCAACATGGTTTTGGACCTCCAAGTGTAGGAAGGTTTACCAAGTAATTACACACGTAGCACAGGAAGTCCTTCTCATGAGAAGCAATTTAAAGGAACATTGGTTCAGTATTAACTTGGATATGGAGATCTTTATATAGAAACTTTTTTTTTGATGGGCAATTTATCAGGTTATAAAAGTAGAGAAACTAAGGTCATTCCCCACTTGCTTTTGCTTAAGGGCAGCACTAT